AGGTCCGATGCCATGTAGGGCTTTTATGACAAAATGAGAAAGTTGGACAGATTAATCACTGCCCTATTGCTCTACCTGAGGAAGAGGAAGTGCAAGTAGATTTTGATAACCCTGTATGAAGTCTACTCAGAATGAAATATCAACTATTTAATGTGGAGGGGTGGTGGTGGTGCAGTAGACTTCAACCCTGAAGGACTATTCTCCCAACTGTATCTTCATGAAAAAATCAGATCAATTTTCAAGCAGAGGGGAAAGGTGCAGGCTCTTTAAATAGCACTTTCCTCCGCCATGCAAAACTGTCTCTTTCAGGCTGACTTTTCAAAGGCTTTTTTTCCCCCCTAGTTGAATTGTATTATTCAGATCAGAATGCCCGATTCTTAACTACTTTTGAGCTCTGAGGAGGAAAGCAGCATTCACACAAGAGTGTAACAGTGCCCGATGAAATTAAGATTGCTATCTGAGGAGCCACATATGCCACAGAAATCATATTTAGAAGAAACAAGGACGGGCAACTATGTGAATGCAGTTATTATTAGACATTTACAAAAGTACTGCAATTCAACTATCTTTTCACTGGCATTTAACTTTTAATTATGAAGCATGTTTAATGGATCCTCCAAGGTTACGTTAGTATGACAAACCAACTTAAGGTATTTATCATTGATTGAAAGTAGTAGTTCTTAGGGGGGGAAAATCTACATGTTTGTTACAAGAGAGATTTCTTCCTGGTTGCAAGAGGCATTAGAGGAAGACTCCCCCCTCCCCGCAAAAAAAACCCCACTTCTTAAATATTTCCAGTGGAAATATACAAGCTCTTTTTGTATGTTCACGTGTAAACATCTCACTTGGAGATATCAGCTGCTCTTTCTGCAGGATGCAAAGAATATTTTAATCTCTCTCTTTCTCAATAAGCCAATGAACACATTTTAAATAATAAGAGACAAATAGCCCCTTTTCCAGCCATAGACAACAGGCAAGGTCAAATCCTCAGTGTTAACAGTGTAACATAAGCAACCATATAAGCAACCGTATAAAATACCAAAAACTAAATTTTCATTAACATCCAATGGCCGTGATTCACAAGTGACCAATGCATTTATTCTGCCCTGCAAAGCAAGTCTTTACAAGCAACCAGAGAATGCAATTTAATTTTCCCACCACGTTAACAAGTCTAAATAGAAATCATCCACCAGTCAGCGGGACTGTACAAAGCTACTTTTAATTATTTTAGGAGGTTAATGGGCCTCCTGTTTGCTCCCAGCCATCAATGAAACCATCAGGATTACAAGACCTCTTTACTTATCCTTTCAAAAGACCTTCACTGTGCATTGGGGGGCGAGGGGGCTAAAATAGAAAAGACACAAAATGACCATTTTCTCTTACTTGCCATCTGTTTAAAAAAAACTGACGAATGGCATAGAAAAACATTGCATTAAGCTGTGCATTAAAGCAGCCAGGAAGAGCATAGTGTATACTGTACGCAGCACTTCAGGAACAAAGGAATCGGAATGGCCTCGGTGGTGAATGGGTGCTAGTTTCCCTACAGACAGGGGGGGGGTTCCTCTCTCCCCCCCCCCCCCCCAGTTCACAATGAAACTAAAGAGGCTGGGATGGGGAGCCAGCCACAGCAGCAAGGATAAGCAGCATTATTTGCCTTAAAAATGCAATTCTGCGAGGCTTTTTTGAATGATTGCTCCANAGCCGGTGAGATTTGAACCGCTGAACTGCAGATAACAGTCAGCTGAAGTGGCCTGCAGTACTGCACCCTAACCACTGCGCCACCTCGGCTCTTTACCGAACACCTGGAACGGCATTCATCTTGCAACCAAATAGACACCCGGGAGACCACAAGCTAAGTGGTGGCTTCTCCTCAACCCAAGACTTCTCAAGGAAGTGAAGATGAGCTACCAGCTTCCCTCAAATGCCACTAAAACCTTTTTTTATATACCGAAGTCCAGGTTTAACTGAGGGAGATATCGGGAACAGTAGTCAGAAAAAGAAGCCTTTTGAAAGGGCAAACCACAGCAATGCCTTTCCCTGATGATAGCAGGGAGAGGGAGCCGCCGGGGAGGAGAGGGGGAAAGAGATGCCTTTCCTCACCTTTCTTCATCCTTGAAAATGAATTTCCGCAGCTTGAGATCCCTCAGGACGAGCCCGCCGTCGTGACAGTGCGCTACCGCAGAGGCTATCTGGTAGAACAGCTTGGCTGCCTCTTCCTCCTTCAGCTTCTTGCAGGTGCGAACAAAGGAGTGCATGTCCCCGTAACTCCGCTCAAAGAACACGTAGGCCTTCGTCTCCCCAAGAATGACTTCGGTGATTTGGTTGATGTTGTCGTGAGGAAGCAGGCAAAAACATGGTGCCAGTAATTCTTGGTAGCAGCCAATATCGAACACCTAGAATTGCGAGTTCGCAGTAAAAGAAAGGGTTAACCAACAGGAAGGCCAGTTTTCCTCCCCACCCCCCAATCCAAAATATACAAAATATATGCCATATTTTCCAGAGTATAAGACGCACCAAGATTATGAAGAGGCAAATTAAACATTAAAACAATTTTTGCACTCTGCAGGCCTCCCAAAAATGGTCCAAGTTTTTTTTGTCAATAAAACAGCATGCATAGTATTTAGGAAGTTTATAGAGTGCAACGGCCCATTTTTTTGCTCATTTTTGCCCTCCCCGGCCCCCAGGAGAATTCTGGAAGCCTCCTAAAGGCTATGCATGGCCATTTTTGCAAAGGGGGGGCGGGGTTTCGGGAGGCCAAAAATTCTGTATTCAGTGTATAAGACGCTGAAGACAAAAGGGAAGGAAAAAGGTGTGTCTTACATTCTGAAAAATTGCGTGTGTGTGTGTGTGTTGCCTTTGTGCCTTTCTGCCTGGATGGCTCCTAGGGTGAGCTGAAAGACAGAAAAGGGAAGCAGTATGCTCCCTCCCATATTTGGGTGTACCAGGAGTTGTGATACATACATACATACATACATACACACACACACACAATATTATATAATATATATATATATATATATATTTTAAAAACCCAAAATATACAAAAAAATCCAAAATA